CACACACACACACACACACACACACACACACGAAAATAAGACCACACAGGCACACGCATTTCAAAAAAAGAAGTTGTGAGACTGCAGGCAATAAGCCAGAGGCAGCATTGCCTATCGTCCGCGCAATGGGGCGTCGGCGCAATGCACACTACCAAGGAAAAAAGACGAACCCACCTTCCCGCTGAAGGTGGCAAATGCATTTGTTTCCATTCATACTAACGGATGCATCTTGCGGTCATCTGATAAGCAGTTGTGCTGGATGAGAGTGGAGTGTGCGACTACTGCCTGAGTGGCGGATGCCCTTGTCTGGTGTTGTGTGCGAGTGTGTGTGTGTGTGTGTGTGTGTGTGTGTGTGTGTGTGTGTGTGTGTGTGTGCGAGTGTGTGTGTGTGTGTGTGTGTGCGAGTGTGTGTGAGTTGAAGGACACTACAGCCATGCAGGGGCGGGGTGGATATCCTGATCGGCATGGATCCGCTTTTGTTACACCGTGCCATGGTTGTAGTGATTAAGAAACTCGGCTCTTGAAGCTGAGAGCGCATGTTCGAATCCGTGCGTGCTCTGTGCACTGCACGGAGGAGGTCCTGCGGCTGATGAAGTACAAACTGCCGTGGAAAGATGTGCGTGCGCTGTGCACTGCACAGAGCTCTTTCTCCAGTAGTTTTTTGCCCGTTTCGTGTGCATGGACCTCGAGAGAGATCCGTTAAATTGGAACGATAGAGAGAATTTTTTTTTTTTTTTTTTTTTTTTTAATCAAGAGGGGGCCCAATATGTTACTTCCGGGTTGGTTTGTTGAGGATTTCCCGGCCTCTATTTCTTGATTTGAATTACGAAGCCCTAAGGGCCCCCTCTTGAAAGAGAAGATTAGCGTGGCCCCTGGGGCCAAGTCCCACTAGCAGCGTTGAGCTACCTCAACGCCTGAATCTGGACGTTTTTGCGGAGATGTGCAGTTTTTCTGCACATCTCCGCAAAAACGTCCAGATTCAGGCGTTGAGGTAGCTCAACGCTGCTAGTGAGACTCGGCCCCTGCGCAAGGATGACACGCATAAATCGAGGAATCGTTTAAATTCATGGCCGCATTAGGTCCTTTTCCTTTTTTTCCCTTCTCTTCCTCCTGTTCCCTTTCTCCTCTTCTTGTAACTAGTTCTTTTTTCACGTTTTTCTTAGTAAGACTTTGAATCAGAGACTTAGCTTGAATTGATTGTCATTGCAGTTTTAGTTTAGCCAAGGGCCTGATGGGTGAGTAAGGTTTTCCAAGAGAGGAATTTGATAAGCTAAACCGGCTGATGCTGCCGGGATAACTCCGGGTGGAATTGTGAGGTCCCCGGCCTCTTCTCATTGACTCATTGAATGCATAATTAAAAAAAAAAAAAAAAAAAAAAAAATCGTTTAAAAAAAAACAGAAAGAGAGAGAGAGATCGGCTCTTGGTATACGATGGTCAGAACGGCCCGGAGTTCACGTCTCTAAGGGCCTCTCCACACCGCGACACGAAACGCAAAAAAAAACGAGTGCATCTTCCCACAGGAACCGGAAAGATTCATCCGTTTACTATGCCACCTTCTGTGGGCAGATGCACTCGGTTTTTCATTTCGTGTGCCGGTTGGCGAGAGGCGCTCAGTTATCGAGCAGGGGCCAGGTCCCACTCGCGGCGTTGATTCGTTGAGTTGCATCAACGCCTGAATCTGGACGTGGCTGTGGATATGTGCAGAAATCGCGTTGAGTTTTCTCAACCGCACATCTCCACAAACGCGTCCAGATTCAGGCGGTGAGGAAACTCAACGCTGCTACTTGTAGTGGGACCTGGCCCCAGAACACAGCTGCCTGTCACACCCTTGGGGCCTCGCTCGACCACTCGCGACATGCATCTTTACATGTTCTAGCGGAAGATTCATTCTCATTTTGAGCAGTTGGTAAGTGGCGCAGCGAGGCCCTTTATCTGACAAATGAGAAAAAAAAAAAGGGGCTCAAAAAAGAAGAGAGAGGGGCGGGGAGGGGGGGCCCGAGAGGAATTGTCAAATTGAACAAAATCCAGTCCAGGTTGCCTTTATTTATTTATTTATTTATTCATTTATTTTTTTATTTTTTTCCAGGCTGCCTTTACCTTTACCTTTAGGAAACACCTTTTTGTAAAGACTTAGTGCAGATTCTGAAAACAGATCAGAGAGCGTTTGCAAGCCAAAGGAAGATGGAGTTGAGGAAGACACCCAGCGGAGAACCTCTTGGCCCCATTCACTCTTCTTGCTAACCTCCTCCCGCTTTTGCTCGCTCTTCTCCTCTCTTTCTTGGCTTGTGTTTGCATCATTGCCCCTGCCAGCTTTCCCTCTATCATCATCCTTGCCCTCTCCATCCATCCCTGCCACCCGTCTCCCTTCCTTTCCAACCTTACCCCTCACCCGTCTATCCTCGTCTTCCCTTTCTCCTCCTACTACTACTTCTGCTTCTACTGCTCCTCCCACTCCTCCTCCTCCTCCCCCTCCTCCCCCTCCTGATGCGGTGACCTTCAGCGCATCCCATACCTTGTTAAACGGTAGCCACTCCCCAATCCGTACGCTTCTCAAAGCCGCAAGCGGAGGGAAAACCTTCCTCCTGCTGTTCGGCCTCCCCCCCCCCCCCTCCTCCTCCTCCTCCTCCTCCTCCTCCCCCACCTTCTTCTCCAAAAGACCATTCGATGTGCTCTCATCGAGACCTGGTCGGGATAGGGACTCTCCCCTCTCACGCAGCCCTTGCATGACGGCATCCACCTCCCGAGCAGACACGTGGCATAGACGCCTCTTCATGGTGCTGACGTCAACGATAATCCCCCTTGCTGCCTTGGCTGCCGCCAACCCTGCTGCTCCTCCTGGAGTTCCCTCACCTCCCCCTCGCCTTTCCTCAGGACGTAGTAGGCAGGCGACAGGCCCACCATTCCCTTCCACATGGCACCTGAATGGTCCCTCCACGTGGCTTGTTCTGCTTTCGATCCTCTGTCGATAGCCCAGACCACGGTGGCGGGCAGGGCCGCTAGCTGCCACGAGTCCAATCAATACAAGGCAATCAATCAATCAATACAAAAACAATCAATCAATACAAAAACAATCGATCAATACAAAAACAATCGATCAATACAAAAACAATCGATCAATCAATACAAGAACAATCAATCAATCAATCAATACAAGACAATCAATCAATCAACCAATCGATCTAATCAATCAATTAACCAATTAAACAACCAATCTAATCAATCCGGACAGGAGAGCAAATGAAAAGCTGAGGAGACTGCGAACGACAGACAAAACCCAGCACGCAGAGATTACCAAGAAAGTTCGGCGAGAGTTCCAACACCGCAGTTACTGAGAGAGAAGGATAGACACACGAAAGAGGCACACGGACGTAGTCAGAAAAAAAGAGACTGTGGAAAAGCAGAGAAGAAGATTAAGATTGTGAAATGATCCGACAAAAATAGAAAGTCTAGTTCAAAAAAGAGGAACAGCTGACGCCCGCACATGAGGCACACCTATCGAAAGTCCCTCCCTTGGGAACGTCATGACGCAAAGGGGAAGGGGGACTCGTACCTGAAACGAGATTAAAAAAGAAAGAAAAGAGCAGAAAGAGCCACCGAAAACAGACGAAGAGGAAGAAAGAGAAGAGGAACAGGAGGAGAAAGAGAAGAAGAAAGAGAAAGAGGACGAAGAAAGAGAAGGAGAAGAAAGAGAAAGAAGAGGAGAAAGAGCAGAAGAAGAAGAAAGAGAAAGAGGAGGAGAAAGGGAAGGGAAGCGATAAGTTCGACAAGAAGAAGAAGAAGGGGGTAGGACAAGGGGAGGGGAACGAGAACGTTCAACAAGAAGAAGTTCAAGAAGAAGAAGAAGAAGAATAGTGGAAACAGTGGCCAACTGCCTTTCGTACACGCATCGAAAGTTCTTCATTACAAAGCCGCGCATACTCATCTCAGCTCTCGCGCACACTCCCCGACGCGTTTCGATCGGTTGCGCTCCGATCATCCTCAGGGGGCTAACCTCATGACCCCGCCTTACGGCCCCACCGTCTACCCTCCCGTCTTACTGAAGAAGAAGGAGGAGGAGGAGGAGGAAGAGGAGGAGGAGAATGGGCAGGGGTACGTAGGACAAGCGGAGGAGGACGAGAAGTTCAACAAGAAGAAGAAGTTCNGAGGAGAATGGGCAGGGGTACGTAGGACAAGCGGAGGAGGACGAGAAGTTCAACAAGAAGAAGAAGTTCAAGAAGGAGGAGGAGGAGGAGGAGGAGGAGGAAGAAGAAGAAAGAGAAGAGGAGGAGGAGAATGGGCAAGGGGTATGAGAAATTCAAGAAGAAGAACAAGAAGAAGGAGAAAGAGGAGGAGAAAGAGGAGGAGAAGGACGACGACAACGACAGAGAGATGGAGGATTGCAAAAAATTCCAAAGGGAGGAAAGGGGTCCGGAGGGGAAAGGAAGACAGAGAGAAAGGCAGATGGAAAATCTGCAGAATAGCAGACAGTGGAAAAAAAAGAGGCACGGAGGAAGGCGCAGAGAACAGACGAGGGAAGGGTGGGCGAGGAAGGGATCGGGTTGTGGGACGGGATCGGGATGTGGGACGGGATCGGCTTGTGGGACGGGATGCAAAATGTACTTACAGGATACGGATCGCGCACAGCACCGTGTCAGATGTTCGAGAGCTTGCCAGATCGGTTTGCCATTGCAAACCATAATCTACTTGTCGGTTGTGTGCTGATGGATCCGATTCTATTCTGGACAAATTTGTGGATAAATCTCTGGATAATTGTCTGGATAGAATCACGTGATAGATATGGATAAATGGATGCGGAAGCCGATGAATCACCCTGAGGGTAAATGTATGGATAAGTGTCTCGAAAGATGGATCAAGACTAGATACAGGAACAGATGCAGGAATATCTGAATAGACGCAAGGAAGGAAGAGGTGGGGGCCACCACTAAAATTAAAGACAAGCAAGAGAAACGCGTGGATAAGTGTGCCTGCTGCCGGTAGCCCCGATCACAACCCCGTTCGGACGTCGACTGCAAAAAAAAAAAAACAAAAAAAAAAAAGGAGCAACTTCGCTGTTCGCGATGATCTGATCAGATCAGATCAGATCAGATCAAATCACTTATCCTCGCCGAAACTTCGCAGAAGCTTCTTTCGCCTCTCTTCCTCTTTCCCTCCTTGCATTTCACTCCCTATAGTCCAAAAAAAAATAGAAAAAAAAAAAAAAGTCAAAAAGTTGCCTAGAAGATCGCTGGTCAGGATTCAGCTGCCCCCCTCCTCCTTCCCTGTGCTTTACTTTTTTTTTTTTT